TATATATATATATATATATATATATATATATATATATATATATATATATATATATATATATATATATATATATATATATATATATATATATATATATATATATATATATATATATATATATATATATATATATATATATATATATATATATATATATATATATATATATATATATATATATATATATATATATATATATATATATATATATATATATATATTTATATATATATATAATTAAATATTTACCTTAAAGTGAGGTCGTAATCGTCAGATCGGTCCAAACTCAATCTGGACCGTTGGGCTCATATGTTCATATGAGTTAGTGGTCTAATCCCAACTTTTTTCATATATATTATTTATATTATTAATATATATTATATTATGTATAATATATATTCATTCAATATATATTAATAATATAAATATATAATATTTATAGGGAAAGTATAGAATGGCATAACTTACCTTTGATGCAAGCTTGTGACATTAATCTTGGCCATTGAATATGAAATTGGGTAGCTGTAATTATTCCATTGACCTAGCTCAGACTTAGAAATTTTTTCGAACTTTGTGACATATCCAAGCTATCAAACTTCACATCAAATGGCTGTAAAAAATTGTGACCACCTTGTATCAAAGGAAAATGGTCTTAATGTAAACCAATCTCATACTTATAAATATATTATAATATAATATATTTATGTAATGTAATTTATTTATATAATATATATATAAACATATTTATTATATGGAGAACTAGTATTCATATAGCCAGCTTCAATTAATTGGAAAAAGACTAAAATGATGATGATATATTGTATTATATAATATATAATATATTTTATTTATGTAAATATTTACAACACAATGTTATATAATATTTTATATTTAATACAAAAATAATATTTAAATAGTTTTAAAATAAATATAACTATATATTTTAGTTATAATATTATATTTAAATATCGTATATATAGATTTAATATATTTACAAAATATATTTAAATACCAAACAGGTTCCCAAACATATATAATTCATTACGAAATACTTTTTAAACATGTTAACATGCTCGGTGAAAAGAAAGTTTCCAAAAGTTTTTCTTACAAAGTGTTTATACGAGTAATGATCCTATGAGACCCTCACACACTTATGTATAGGACCTCAAAGAATCATCATTAAATTTGAATGGGACTTGACTTTTCTAGAGATCTGTGTCAAATTTAATAATGATTCTTTGAGATCCTACACACATGGATATGGGAGGGTCTCATAGAATCATTACTCGTGTTTATATATGTAAATATTTTTCTTAAAAAACTATTTACGCACCAACCAAACATACCCTTAAATACCCATCATGCCCTTAAGTAGACACAATTAACCATCTATGTGGCTCATTGAAGATGACTCATCTCTAGAATCCACAGCTAAGGACGGGCAGCGAATCTTGTACCCAATAATGGTGCCAAGCAATGATATGAAGATTGTACTGCCAAGGAACTAATGAGCAAATTAGTCGAAGCAAAAATCAACCAAACCACCAGTTGAATTGTTTAGACTAAATTTTAAAAACATAAAAAATATTACTAATAGTTTAAAATATAAATTATATTTCCTAAAAAAAAATTCAACTTCATTTGATTTGTTTAGCTCAAAAAAAACAAATCAATCAGACCAATCAAAATTAATCCAATATTGACCTATTTTCAACAAAAAATCTATTTTCCCTTGAAAACAAGCTAGCTACAACACCAGTGGTCTATATGGTCGGACTGGGCCAATTTGGAAACTATATCACAAAACACGATGTCCGTGCCCTAATTTTTAGGGTCATTTAACAAGTTTCTAAGTTACTCAAATAGATGTTTCACACAAAACATTACCCGATGAATGCCCTCCACTGTAAAAAGAGGACTGCCCTTCTTAGATAAAGCCGGACGTGCATTTCGTATGATAAGTCGCCGTATAGGCTTAGTTTGCTTTGCATTCGCCCCTCCCCCAGCCCCATCCATGATAAGGCTGTTCATAGACCATACCCAATGAGGGGCCGTAGAAATTAACAAACCTAAATAAATATTGATCATCTAAAAAAATAAGAATAAATTATCAAATAAAGGACCACATCCCATTGAACTACCCAATAAAAAATAAAAAATAAAACTAACGAATGGCCAGTACTTCCTAGGGTGGACCTATTGTGTATGCCTGACCTGGTGAGAATGGAACCCGACGTCTCATGTGGCACAGGTGCCCTGACAAGAACCTGTTCTCATTAAGTAACTAACTTCCTTTTAAATGCATTGGATCAATTTTATGCATTATGGTTCAGTAACAACATGATTCGTGATAAAATATACTGCAAAGTCTGAAATACTTTTTGGTAAATAATTTCTATGAATATTTCAGGGTGAAAATATAAGATCCAATAAATCCATGACAAATATATTACGGTTAGGAGCAAACTGCTCATTTAATATAAAAAAAAAAAATCATTCTCATAACCATTGCACCTTATAGCAAATCATATTATCAACTATGACACATATGAATCCTACATTTCCTTCTCATTTCTTTTTTATTCGATGACATGCAATTTTGCATCTCGAGAATTTCTCTCATTTCAATACAGCGTCCAAGGGTGGTAGTAAAACTTAGTTATCCAGAAAAGGAGAAACAAGATAAGAAAAAGAACAAAACTTTTTATAAAATTACATATGTTTCCCTATATACTCATTACCAGAAATTACAAGTATATACCATATATTTAACACGCAACCTACCCAAGTGAAACAAAATTATAGAACCCGAAAATCTCGAAGAACGAAAAATTTCTAACCCACTAAAACAACTCATTGTTTCACTACTCACCATGGTAACCCATCTGGCGAGCTCTTTTCTCCCATAGAGAGGTGAGCTTCCTCTCCTTTATCAAGGCTGCCTCTGATCTTTCTCTTGCTTCTTCGCACGTTTCAGTTGCAGAAATGCACTTTTGAGCTTCTTTCTGATACTGAGATGCTATTCTTTTGGCTTCTAACAATGTGGAGTTCATATGATGACTATTCTCTTCGGCCACGGTCTCTTGAAGCTTCAATTCCTCTGTCAATAGATCAACAAATTGCTTCCCCATTTCGCTGTTGAGGTCCGGATCATGTTTCCCACAATCTGCATTTAAACTTGAGTTAGAGATCTGGGTACCGATGAAACAAGGATCATAGAGTGGTCACTTGTCTTGTTGCAAATTATCGAACTTACCACCTTTTTTTCTTTTCTTTTCTTTTTTTTTGGCTGTTTAGAAGGATCTTTCTCTCTCTCTCTCTCTCTCTCTCTCTCTCTCTCTCTCTTCTACTACTACTACGTTACGTTAGGTTAGGTTTAGGTTAGTTAGTTAGTTACGTTACGTTACGTTACGTTACGTTACGTTACGTTACGTTA